TAATTAGTCTAATTTGTGAAGTTGTATAATATACTGCTAGTATTGAAAAATATAAAAAATGAATGTGAAATAGAATATTATAATAATTATTTTGGTTTGAGAATGAGTTTGTCATTTGGATAAAAATTACAGTTTGAGGTGATATGTGCAAAATAGATCGTCTGAGCATGAGTTTTTCTTAGAGATGGTCTTAATGCCAAGTCTAACTGTTTAATAAGCCCATATAAAACAGTTGCCAAGCCCAGAAAATCCTTCAATCTCAAGCTCAATGATTTGGCCTATTTCTTTATATTTCAAATTTTCGTTTCTTATTTGTGAAGTTGTAATTTTGGCAAATTAAGTTGTTTTCTCTTTGAATTTGCGTTAATCTTCTGTTAATATGCTCGATTTAATATTATTCAACTGTATGCTTTTCCGCTTTACTAATGTTCATGATGATTGAAGTATAACACCTTGGCAATGTGCATGAGCAAATACTTAGGTGTGCCCTGAGCCTTTTGTGAAATACACTTCTCCCAAAAGCGCGTGAGATAAGGAGGTAAGTTATTTTTTTTTTAAAATGAGACATGTGTTTCATTTCTATTGGGTAATGAAATTCATATATCATATTATATAAATTAAATTATCATTCATATTTTGTATCAAAAAATAAAAATAAAAATACCAAAATTCATAATTTTTCATTCTCTACAAATAGAGACCACATTTGATATTTTTGGAACACAACTAATTTATCATTTTTTACAATTAATTTATCTTATTGGAAGATTATGGCATAAATCTATAATTAGATGAATATGTTACATAGTAAGATGAACATGTTATAGAGTAAGATGAACATGTCATAGAATAAGATGGAAATGTTACATTTTCACAGATGAAATTTAGATGAACATGTTCTAAAATAAGATGAACGTGTTACATAATAAAATGAACATGTTATAGAATAAAATGAACATGTTACATAATAAAATGAAAATGTTATAGAATAAGATGAACATGTTACATACACAATAAAGTGAACATGTTACATAATAAAATGAACATTTTATAGAATAAGATGAACATGTTACATACACAATTAGGTGAACATGTTACGTAATAAAATGAACATGTTATAGAATAAGATGAACATGTTACATAATAAAATGAACATGTTATAGTAAGATGAACATGTTACATACACAATAAGGTGAACATGTTGTAAAATAAGATGAATATGTATTATTTCAACGTACAATTTGTAACATGTTCATCATATTTGAAAACATATTCATTTTATCATGTAACATGTTCATTATACGTCAGTATAATAAAATAATTACGAAAAAACGAAAAATTAGTTGTGTTCAAAAACCTATCAAATGTGGTCTCTATTTATAGATAATGAAAAATTATGAATTTTGGTAATTTTATTTTATTTTTTAATATAAATAATTAATGATATTTTAATTTATGTAATATGTCTCATTTTTCAATTAAAAAAGGAAAAATAGGAATGTGCACTACACTCTCCAAATTTTCTTGTTTTTGGGATGAGAAAGGCGCGTGCAAAACAACCTTGGCACACCTAGCTAGGTGTGCCAGGGCACACGGTAGTACTACTGATGTGCATGAGTTCAAGCTTCAAATATGATAGTTAGGCAAATAAGATAGTTGATGTGTTATTTGGTTAGCTTATAAATTTCATGTATTCAAATAAGACTTGTTTGGTAGGACGAACCTTTTTAAAATATTCCACCTTATCTCATAAGCTTCTCTGGGTAGTTTTTCAAATAGATTAGTTGAAACTTTAATTTCAGCTTGCTTATCAACTAATTTTTTTTACCAAACACTTTTATCACAGTTATAAGCCATAATCTATAAACTAGTTTATCAGCTAGTTTTACCAAACATAGTTTTAATGGTTGGACAATCATATTTTTTTCAACAAATATGCATACTTCTAAAATGAAATGTTATACTCTATAAAAATAATATTTTACAGCATATGTATGCGTTTTTGTTAATAAAAAGAATTACGACGAGTCGATCAGTCTAACAATTTGCCTCTCGGAGACAAGACTTTGTTTGGGAGGACCATGACAAATCAAAATAAATAAAGACACTGTAAGCATTAAATCGTGATAAAGTTGAGCTTTAATAAGGGGGAGAGTTTGATTGGGTTTAAAAGGAGCACAACACCCATTTTCTTTCATTGGGCCCATAAGCCCACTTGATATATGGATTGCTGCTTGAGTGCTACTGCTTGTGAATTGGTGGCTGAGGTTTATACCCATCTTCCCATTTTAACTAGCCAACTCAGCTTCGTGGGGCCCAACTGCTATTCATGGCTCTGGTTGATTTCAGTTGCGGCCACGTCATCGAGTTTATTCCTCAGCAATTGCCATAAAAAAAAACAACATGGTTACTACTAGCGACTTCAATTCTCTGACAGCCTTTTTGTAGCTTTGGTGAGTGCATGAATGCATACTTTATCTTTCGAAAAATGACGAGGAATGACAATAAACACGAACCTCGAAAAGGTCAAATAAAGAATTCGAAAGGAAACGATGGTAGTCGAGACGTGTACTAAAACACGCTCTTCGTAAGATAAATCTGTAGAATAATATTTTCAATTTACGATACATATATTCGAAATACGACTTGCGTTCAGGATATAGCAAATATATTAAAACATTTATTTTCGCAACATATTAATTTTTGCCTTGTCTGAGCTCTGTAGTGCCCGTGCGTGTCCCCAACATACTGCTGATATCATGTGTGTTTTGAACGGCTCGGTTCAAAAGGGTGTCCTCAAGTCCCTACTAGGTGTGCGGCCAGCGCTCGTTCGAGTCCGGTTGCTAAGGCCTAGCTAGTTTTGAGCTACTAAAATTCAATCATTCGTACTTTATAACTTGTTTTTATTTGGAATTTGTTTCTTATTTATCCTAGTATGAGTTTGACAGTTTTCGAAAATTTTCATTTATAAAAAATAAAACCGCAAAATGGGTACAAAATCAAATTTTATCCTAACATATACACTTTTATGGGTTTGTCATATGATATTGACTAATTGAATTGTAATGATCCTCATGTGGGCCGGTATTTTAATGTATGTTGATGATGACCTTAATAAATTATAATGCACCATTTTTGGTGCCAAAGTTCAATTCAGTCCCTTTAATCAACATCAAAATTAAAGGACGGTTCCGTTACGGAACTATTCCGTCGAGATTTATAAACGTTAGATCAACTAACCCGACAGTTAAGTGACGATCTAACGGTTACAAATCGCGATGGAATAATTCATAACGGGAACTTAGCATCTTCCTAAAATTAAAATCCGAAAGCCCGCTCTTTAGTCTTAGCATACAAATTAATTTGACCGCTTGAATGAAAAACATCATAATCTAAAAACCCACCACAAGTTATGCCAGCCACAAGTTTCTGTACTACCCTCTCACACCCACTATTTTTCTGCCACGTGTCCTCTCCTCGATTCTCCTCCCCTTCCCCGCCATACACTATAAACTCTCTCACACGCGCAAAACAAAATAAAAAATAAAAAAAAATAACACTGCAACCCTCAAACCAAATGCCAAGGCTTGAAAACACCTCCGGCGACCTCCACGGCGGGGATTCATCCGGAAGCAGGTGGCTCTTATCCCCAATCCGCGACCGGCAGGCGCTGCTCTGCGAGGCCTGTGAGAGCGCCCCCGCCGTCTTTCTCTGCAAGGCTGACGCCGCCTCCCTATGCACCGCCTGCGACGCCGAGATCCACTCCGTCAACCCCCTCGCTCGCCGCCACCACCGCGTCCCCATATCCCCTCCGGCGGAGGAGGATGACGAGGTGGCGTCGTGGCTGCTCCTGAACCCGCTCAAGGGCGGCGGCGACCCGGCGGAGTTTTGTGGGGAGGTGGTGGACGATTACTTTGACCTGGGAGACTTTGGATCGTGCCACGTGTCCGGAGAAGGCAAGTACAACGACGGCGGCGAGCAGGGATACGCGAACGGCAGTGCAGTTCAAGATAAGGGCGGCTTTGGCGGCGGTGATAGGGTGGTGCCTATACAGTTAGGGCTGGATTATGAGTCTTCAAACGTGGGATATGGTTATCCGGCCACGATACCTCATACCGTGAGCTCTTCTCATTTTTTATTTATTTTTTTCTTTTTGAGTGCAAAATTTAAAAATATTCTATATATTTTGATGGTAATTTGAGTACAGTACTATTTTAAAAATTTTTAAATTTAATTTTTATTGATTTATAGATCGAAAGGAATGAAAATAATATGTACTGCATGTGCTTATTCATATGTATAACAATCTCAAGCATGTGTGGTAATTTATAGTTAGTACCAACACTTACGCTAATAATTAATATTTGTATCATAATCATATATGTATCACGAATATACACTAGTATGTTCACAATATGTTTAAATTTATGAATAATTAGAAAAAAATACAAGAATAAAATAAACATATAACATTTGAGGTTTAGTCAATTAATAAAATATAATGAATTGAAAAAAAAAAAAAAACCTAATTTAGCTTCAAAATATAAGAGCTTCATTTGCTAAGGTTTATAATTCATTTTATTTACTTAAGTAACTTCAAATCGTTGTTCAAAATTTGTTTAACTACAGATTTCACTCTCGCCGTTGGATGTGGATGCAGTGCCCGAATCGACGATGAGCGGAAACTTGGACCCCCACACGAGGCCGCCGAATAGGGCCATCGACCTATTCACGGGCCCACTATTGCAAATTCCGGCCCAACTCAGCCCAATGGAACGTCAGGCCAGGGTGCTGAGGTACAGAGAGAAGAAAAAGACGAGGAAGTTTGAGAAGACGATTAGGTACGCATCAAGAAAGGCGTACGCGGAAACTAGGCCACGGATCAAAGGCCGGTTTGCGAAGAGAACCGAAAGTGTTGACGTCGAAGTTGATCAGATGTTTTGTTCATCTGTAATGGGGGAAGTTGGATATGGCATTGTGCCTTCATTTTAAGTGCATGGTTTTATTACATTTTCCTGTTCTTTTTTTCAGGGACAGAAATTATAAGACAAAATAAAGGGATGAATGTTTTGTCTGTATTTTGTTGTGGTTAATTGAAGAGCTGCTGCAATTTGTTCTTGTAGTTATATCTTTTGCTCTGTTGAGTGTATATTATTATTGGTGTTAATTTGTGCATATGGGATTAGTAAAATGATGGGGTTATTAGTTATATACAAGGTAAAAGGAAATTATGAAGATTTTATATTCAGATGTTTATAGTTAGGGAAGATGCTACAGTCCCGTTACAGAACTATTCCGTCAGGATTTGTAACCATTAAATTATCATGTAATCGTCGGGAATAATTGATCTAACGGTTACAAACTCCGACAGAATGGTTCCATAACGAGATCGTACATTTCCTGTTAGTAATATAATGATATTACAATCGTGTTTCAAGTTTCAAGAATCTTTTTATATTTTTAGTAGTTTTATAGTTTAAATTTTGTGTTCTTCGTGTTTATCTTTTATCTTTTATTTTTAGTCCTTTTTTATAGTTTTTTTGTAATTCTATTTAAGAATCTTTATTTTTTGAATTATTGCTAATTACGATTTCGTTTCATTGTATTTATAAAAAAAAATGCAAACACGTTTTCCATTGAAGGTTATAAGATTAAAATAAATGTTTTTAATGTCATCCGGTGGAAATACAATAAAAATAAAAATGCATCATGATTCAAGACCTGGTCGAAAATCTCAAAATAAAAATTACCAAATCGGACACTACAGAATTGAATTTTTACTTAAGTGGGCTGCTACTTAAAAAACAGGCATTAATAAGAGGCCCACATTTTTATAAAAGTGTTTTGGACCAATAGCCCATTAAAATATAGCTTTTATTGGGAAGTTTGCACTCAGATGTTGGGCTAGAACCTATGTACCAAGTTGTGAAAAAAAAAATAATAATAATAATTTACCTAATTTTAACCTCAATAACTTTTATTTATTTTTTTTTTTCGAAAAGTCAGTAACAATCGGATTAAGTAGCTACAAAGCTAAATCTAGTGAGATGACATTCCAAAGGAAGCTTAAACTACCACAAACGCACTCACGATAATACGATGCTCTATTTAGTGGATAATACAACATTTAAAAGGAAAACCAACACACAAAACACAAAACATAAAAATACGAAGCACACACAAAAACTAACAGTAAAAAAAGCACCCAAAGAGCAACCTCGAACTACCACCACACGAATGAACCAACTCGCTTATCGATTTGGTGGGAAAAGCCCGGCTCCGACGGTTTATGGGCTCCGGCGTTTGTCGTCGGTCGTTGGGTTTTGGGGGATGAATTGAGTTGTGAAAACTTCCAAATCAATCTCTGAATTCACGAAAACCCTAGAAATCTCCCAAGCTAGATCCTTCACCTCTGACGTCGTCTTCGTCGTTGGCCGGACAAGGCCGAAGCCGACCCGGCTATCGCGCTCGACTCGAACAACGCTGCTTCGCACATCCTCAAGTCCCTCACGCTCGAACTGAAGTAAATAGCCATGAAAGAAGTTCAAATTAGAGACGGCGATTGGGGGTTTGGTGGAGGCAGGGGTGGTTGATGCCCATGTGAGACACGATTTATCTCTTTTTAGATGGGTTGTATTTTTTCACTACTCAACTTTGCTCTCCTCTCCTTGTAGCGTCTTTAACACAACGAACGAAACGAAGCGAAGTTCAGTCATAGAGGGTCGAGCATATTCCAACCACTCCTTAAGGGAATGCTCAATTGCCGCAAGGGATCGGACACCGTTCGAACTTCGCTCCTTTTCTTCACTTGCCCGTAACCGACGCAATGTGAGAGCAAATATCATTTTCATCCGTACTTTAATTATCTAGTAGTTACATCTGCAAATAAGATTGCACATTAGTATATCTACTATCCTTTCTATATATAATTGCAGAATGCATTGAGCTTAAATGGCCGCTTCACACGCTACGAAATCCTACTTTGCGGAAAAACATGTTTCGTAGTTTGGTTTGGATAAAAAATAATATTATTCTAAATCCAAAAATTTAGGTTCGGATATTCCAAAAATATCAAAAAACTAAATTGGTAATTCCATAATAGTTTGACTAATATAACCTTAAGGTATAAGAACCTTTGGTAATGATATTGATTGACTAATGTAACCTTGATTTATTTTGCAAGATCTCAATCGGCTCATTATTTGTATGAAAACCTCATATTAGTCTAATAAATACATATATTTAAATAATTGTGTTATTATTATTTAATTTTAAAAACAATTTTTTTAACAAGTACCGTGTAGTACACGTACTAGTTGTTTAATATTAGCAATGGCAGGGATGTAAGCTGGTTGCAGGGCCGTATCTAGATCAATCCAATAAGAAATACGTATCGGCCCAATAAAATTTTCCAATGACCCACATTTGCTAAATGAGCACATGTGAAAATTAAATTAATAAATAAAAAATTTTTAAATATTCTTTCTAAAAGAAAGTAAATATGAAACAAATAAAACTAAATTGAGTTTTTTTATTTTATTTCTATTCTCATTATTTCATAGTGTTTGGAAGGATATATGAAAGTTATTACTTTCTACTAATTTTTGAGAGTTGAAGACGTATTAGTATTAATGTAAACATACTCATGTATTTTTTATTGATAAATTGTAATATGGTTTTGGTTTGATTTATTTAATTAAAATATTATAATTTCAATCAAACTTTTATTTAAATAATATTTAAGTTTGAATTATTCAATTTTAAATAATATAAATTTTAATTATCATGCAATTTAAATAATATTTAGAGAATCACTATCAATATTTTCGGTGTAATGACGTATAAAATTTTAGAAAAAGATAAATAAATATTACCCATTTAGCAATTATTGCACCTGACTACCCCTAAAAAAAATTCCTCCAACTCCCCATATAAAAATTTTCCAACCGAATTTGTGCTTTTTTATATAAAAATTCTGAAGTTGTGACTTATATATTATGTTCAAGTTGCTCAATATTCAATTCATAATATTAACACTGTATTTTTTTTATAAAATTGTTTTTAATATTGCTTTCTCGGAATAAAATTATTTATTAGTATCTTTTGCATCGCACGGGTGCGTAAGAGCCTCGTATTTATTACTAATATTTTCTGCATCGCACAGGTGCATACTAGCCCACGAGGCTCTGCATTTCCTTGAGGTTATCTTATTAAGTGCTTCTATTTTCTTTCATAATAGGCGTTTATAAAATTATTTTAAATATTTCTTTCCCACATCATAGTTATAATAAAATTATGACATTGCAATAAAAAATTAATAAAAAAGATGAAATTAACATCAATTAATTATCATGTAAATAAATATGTTCCAAACTAATCTTAGATACTTGATATGTCAAAATGGTCACATGGGTAAAATCTCATTGCAATTAATAACCACTAACCAAGATATTGTATGCTCATGACCTATGGAATGGGATTTTTCTATTTACAGTGTGACATCTTTCAGGTTTGATACCTAAAAATATAGAAACAAGAAATGAATTGATGATGTTTATTTATCACCACAGAAAAAGAAAATATCAAACTCAAAAATCACTCAAATTAAAAAAATAAAAAAAAAAATTAAGTTATGTTTTTCTCACAATCAAATCAACTACTCTAACCAAAAAAAAAACCATAAACTATGTACCAAAATGCTACTATATAAATAAAAAAATAATAATAATAACCAAAAACATGCTCCAAGATTCATAACCTTCAACTATCATTCTATATGAACCTCTCTCCCTTTGAGAGAAGTTCTCGATCGTTCGTTTCGGATTTCGATTTTTGGTTTTCGGCTTCACCTAGGACCGGATAGTTCGATTGCTTGAGCAAGTAACGAAGAATCATCCGTGAGGTCCGAATACCGTTCGGACAAGGAAAGCTCTTGCGTCTTGAACTTGTGAGAATCTAATCTCTGCGAAGCCTCCCATCTCTCGGCAAGACCGTCCCCTTCGAGCATGCGAACCACCTCGGACATTTTCGGCCTCGTCCCGGGAAGATATTGAGTGCACAAAAGAGCCACTTGGACCATCTCCTCCACCTCGATCCGGTCAAAGTTGTTCTTCAAGTCCTTGTCCACAATATCGTCGATTTTCTTCTCTTGGTGTAGCGTCTTCACCTAAAAAAACCATAATATAGGTAAAGATCACATATCTATATATAGGAACTTGTTTTTTTCATCATTTTTCGAGAAATCAGTCGTTTCTTGAATTTTTTATTTATTTATTTTTTTTCGAGTGCTCACCCAATCAAGAACGGCCCCCTTCTGATTAGCCGATTTTCCAAATTGTAATGCCCTTTGTCCCGTGATTAGCTCGAGGAGGAGAATCCCGAACCCGAATACGTCAGTCTTCTCAGACGACTGGCCCGTGGAGAGATACTCGGGCGCGATGTGGCCCACAGTGCCCCTTACAGCTGTCGTGACGTGTGAGTCTTGGTGGTCCAGAAGCTTCGCCAGCCCAAAATCACCCACCACAGCCTCGCAATACTCGTCGAGCAGAATATTCGCCGCCTTCACGTCCCTGTGGATTATCTTCGGGTCGCATTGCTCGTGCAGGTATAACAATCCTCTTGCAGCCCCCAATGCAATCCGCTTTCTCGCGGGCCACCCCAGTACTGGTTTCGCTGCTCAAGTCGAAAAATCAATGTCAGAGTTTAGGGGTACGGGAAATAATTAAACCGATACAATATATATAAGTTAAACTCATGCAAAAAACCTCAAACATCCAAAATGCAGAGTAGCTCTAGTATTTGTGTTTTTGCTTTTTTCTTTCTCCCTCCTCTTTTCTGAGGGTAGTTTAGTATCAATTCCTATTATTCCATCACATAAATAGAATTATATTATTAACTAATAATAGCCCACATTGCAGCCTAAATGGTGAGACACTAGCATATTAGTAAGGCTATGCTTGCTAAACCTAGCTGATAAGCCAACTTATAGCTTCTAAGTGAATTTCGAACTGATGAATGAAAAGCTAGCTTATATGGTAAAAGTGTTTAGCAAAGTTAGCTGATAAGCTAGTTGGAATAAAAAATTCAATTGCCTCATTTGAAAAGCTACCCAAATGAAGCATATAAGATAAGCTCGAGCTTTTTAAAAAAGTTCGTCTAAGTTACCTTTGAGACGTGCCGCAACGCTGCCATTGGCCATGTAAGGGTACACGAGAAGCTTCTCGTGGGCCGTCATGCAAAAACCGTACAGCCTTAGGAGGTTACGGTGGACAGCTAAGCTAATCATCTCGACCTCGGTTTGGAACTGCCGCTCACCGCAGGCCGTGCTGCCGTCCTTGAGCCGCTTCACGGCCACGGCCGTGCCGTCTGACAGGTGGCCCTTGTACACATTACCATAACCGCCCTTTCCTAAAATGTTCTTCGAGCTGAAGTTGTTTGTTGCGATTTGAAGCTCCCTCAGTTGGAACCTCCTCAAGTTCCCGAGCGAGATTTCCTCGTGTTGACGGTCTAAAAAAAAAGAAAGAAAAATAAGAGGATTTTGTTTAGAACTTAATAAATATGAAATTCGACATATACACACACACAATCAATAAATAGTACTTCTCATTCTTTCTATTTTCTATAAGTAGCATAATTTATCATGAAAATTTGAATTTCATGGAATTTTATCATTAGTTCGTACCATAAACATCGAAGAACTTTTGCTGGTCGTGTCTATATCTTCTCCACAAGAAAAGTCCGAATACAAAGATAAGTAGACAAATGCAACCAAGGCTCGACCCAATTGCGATTCCAAGATTGCGACGTTTTGATTTGGTTGAAGCAAGAGTAGCTGTTGGGAGAACATATAAGTATATCAACTATCATTATAAAGATACTGTTCAACAAAATAAAAAACAAAAGTTAAAGATCAATGTTTAACTTAAAACTTACATTGTGAGGTATTCATATTCATCGATGTCGGCATCAATGTCACGCTGCCGGCACACGGCGCCTCGGATCCCGTGAGGCATATCATCGGGTTTCCAATAAGACTAAAAAATACATTCAAAAAAAAGATGTTATATACATTCTAATGTCCATTTTACAACATGGACAAATAATCAAGAATGTAATATTTTTCGAAATTTAAGAAATCTTTACTTGAATGTCTTGGCAGGGAACTTAGGCACCGGGCCAGACAAGTTGTTGTAAGACAAATCCCTAAATTCACACAAACATATAATTAATAAGTGAGTGACTGCATTTAATGTAATGAAATCATAAAAATTTGCTAACAAAGAACAAGTGAATTACATAAGAGAAAGTTCTGTCAAGTCAGTTAGTGACATTGGAATCCCTCCAGAGAGACTGTTGTTGTTGAGCCTCCTGTTACAGTTTAGGTAACAAATCATGAACAAGATTATAAAATTCTTCGAAAAATGAATTTCGAATGTTAAAAAATGTCGAAAATAACCGAGTTTTTTTTTTTTTTAAATGCTTACATATACTGAAGAGTTTTCAATTGTCCTAAAGTGCTAGGGAGGCTGCCAGTGAAGAGATTGTCTGATAGATCAATTGTTTTGAGATTTACTAGGTTTCCAATTGAAGCTGGGATTGTTCCTGTTATGTTATTGTTCTGTAATAATCTGCAAAACAAGATAAAATAAAATGATGAAATGCTCATCATACATACACAATAAATAAAAATCCAATCTTGAAACAAATTTTTTAATAATTTTACACTTACATAAACTGAAGATTTGTCAAATTCCCAATACTTGGAGATAAAGAGCCTGACAAATTCTGACTAGGAGCTCCTCTGCAGAGCAAAAACATCACCCCATTATAAACATAAATGAACATCCTAACAAATTCTTCCTCAATTTCTTCAAAAATAAAAAATAAATAAATAAAAAAAATTCAGAAAATCTTAAAAAGTGTGAAGAACTATTACATGCCACTAACAACATTATCACTGGAACAAGTAATCATAGCCCAGCTACATGGATCAACTGCATTTGCATCCCAATTATCAAGCACCCCATGAGGATCCCTTAGTTCAGATTTTAAGCCCATCAAAGCTAGCACTGCAGGAATCAAAACAAACAAACAAATAAATAAACAAGACCAAAACAAGATTGTATAATCTTTTTATTTTTTCCTTTTTATATCAGAAAAAAATGATTGAGATTTTTAAAAAATAAAAAATAAAAAATAATTTTTTTTTTTTTTTTTAATCAGGGTTGTGATTTTTACCTTCAAAGTTGACACCTTTGGGTGAGAGCAAAGCAATGGCAGGGGTAAAAAAGCAGAGAAATATGATGGCTGAGAGTGGTTTTTCCATTTCCATATATGTTCTTGTTGTTGCCATTGATGAAAAATGAAGCTCAGAAACTGGGTTTGATTGCTTGTTTTTTCTGAAAGCATTCAAATTGGTATCTCAAATCTCAAGGGAGGGATAAGTGGGTTTTTTTTTTTTTGTATAGGTTTGCCAAAGGGCTCTCATATTTTCTTCACAAAGGGAAAGTTGAAAGTGAGGCTTTTGTGCTGTGTCAAAGGAGACTGACTATAGCTAAGCATGCCCTGTCACGGGTCAGGTGCTTGTCAAGAAAATAATTTTTTTTTTTTTTTTACTAACTTTAAATTAACCCACGATGGATAAAATTGTAAAAAGATGGACAAATAAAAAAATAATAATAATATATATAGAAGAAGATTCTTAAATTAGTAGTGGTCACATTTTGTTATAGTGTTTGTTAAAAAATGAATTGTATAATAATATTTATAGGTGTATTATTTTAATAAAGTATAAATAAATACCAAAAACATTATTTTTCAACTTGACTAAATGACATAAAAACATGATAGTTAAACATAAACATACCACAACAACACAAGTTGTCATATCTATTGTATTGAAACTAACTCAACATAGAATAAATGAATTAATTAACTTAATTTTAAAATTTAAAACAATCAAAACATGTTAACTATAGACATGGCCACGGGTCGGCCCGACCCAGCGCCCGGCCCGCGAACCGGCACCGGCCTGAAATCGCGTGGGCCTATGAACCGGACCGTGCCCATGCGGTTCGGTCTCGGCTCTCTTTTTTTTTTGACCCGTCGGGTCCGGTTCTGATTTTTCCGACGGGTCATAATTGTTTTTTTTTTTATTTTATTTTTCTAACCTGGCGGTTCAACGAACAGCCGGGCCGGTCCAAATGAATCAACCCTATGAATTGCCGGATCCGTTACGGGCCCAACAATTGAGGCCCGCCGACCCGTCGGGCTGGGCCGGGCCCAGACCCGGCACCTAGCCATGTCTAATTAACTACATATTTTTATAGAAGTATAAAATAATTTCTTATATTTGAGAATCTCCTAGTATTCCATTAGGATTTCAATTTCTTTTAACAATAATCAAGACAAAACCAATACCCGACAAAACAATCAACATTATATCTTTACATGGGTCCAGTCAGTCATTACATAGTCATCTTATGCATGGAAAACTGTAGTCTTGGGTTAAGTACAACATAATCTTGTCATTATCCCTGTGAACTCATATGTAATGATATTAATACTACAATTTATTTATTTATTTATTTATATTTTCTGAATTAATTAAAAGTTAATGGGTGCACCCATATTTATGATGCACAGAATAATTGCATAGGAGACAAGGGAATCCAACATTCCCTGAGTTAGGCCATACAATAAAGTCACAAAAAAAAAGAAAAAAAAAATAATAAATAATTTATTTTCTTTTAAAGAATGTGAGAATCTCTATAAAAAAATAAAAAAATAAATAGTTGCTTTGATATTTGATAGTGGGTTTGGTAACCTTCCCCTTTACCATTATTTTATAAAATATAAAAAATTTACACAAGCATGATGAAGGGCAAATTAATTTTACCATATTGAATAAAACAAATAACTCGTGAATTTAACTCGTTTCGAATTGTCAAGATTCGAAAAATTTAAATTTTTATATGATTTTTTATAGCGCAGCTTGTTAATATTAATTGAAATGCCGATTTTGAGTACTTTATCTGGTTGTTTGATTAACAACTCGTTTTATATATCTTACCTTGCATCACACACATTTATATTTGTTCTTGATCCAATAATAAAAAATATGCACACTTAGATAAATTGATTTTTTCAACAAAGGAAATAATATTATCAATTTTTGATTGGGTGCTGTAAATTCTGCTTTTTCTATTACTTTTCAATCATTATAATTTCCCCTATTTTACTTTAAGCACCTAAAGAAGAACAACATAATTGTAGTGTGACCACCTAAATATAGGCAAATGAAAATGTGATGACCCAAAAAAA